CACAGTCATCTCGGCGTAATTGCGTGAATACTTATGCAAATACGCCGCTAGCCCAAGGAATTTTCGAAGACCTTTGACATCAACCGGCACAGGCCAGTCGGTGATCGCCTTGATCTTTTCGGGATCAGGACGTACACCGTTCTTACCAACGATGCACCCAAGAAGTGGTATTTCGCTTGCTGCAAATATACACTTCTTGAGGTTAGCATACAATTGATGCTTTCGCATGATTGTAAGAACTTGTCGGACGTGGTACCTGTGAACCTCAACGTCTGACTTTCCATCCATAGCTCGACTATGGATGAATACGTCATCGAAATAACTCGGCGCGAATTCTCGTATTGGTCTCAACAGATGTGATACACATCTGTTGAACGTGGCAGGGGCATTACTAAGCCCTTGTGGCATTACTAGCCATTCCCAGAGCATGCCGCTAGGCGTGCTAACTGCGGTATAGGGTATATCCTGTTTCCGCATAAGGATTTGATAGAAGCCATCCATCAAATCCATGGACGAAAAGATGGTACTCTTTGACATACCATCAATGATTACGTCCTTCCTCGGTATTGGCGTCTGAGCCGGTACCGTTGCAGCGTTCAATTTGTTGAACGCGTGCACTATCCGCCACCCTCCTGTTGCTTTTCGCACACAGTAGGTCGGAGAGATATGTGGGGAAGTTGATTCCGTCACATGGCCGGCAGCTAAACGATCGGCAAAGAACTTGTCGATCGCAAGTACTTGTTCACGAGGCAGTGGCCACTGCTTCATGACACAGTACTTCGAGCCTGGTTTAAGCTCGACCTCGTGTCGAATACCTTTATCCTTCGATAATTCGCACGGAACAGTTTCAGGGAATACATCCTTGAATTCAACCAAATCTTCATAGAGAGGATTTTTCTTGAGCGATTCCCATGATTGGGAGTCATATCGCTCAATTCGTGTCTTTTCATCTAGGACACTCTCGTCCATAGATGAACTACTGAGAACTCTCTCGTTCTCAGTGAACACTGTTGCTGACCTTATGTCGGTTACACACTCGTCGTCAGCGACGAGTATGCAGATCTGCTTGACTTTGCCACTACGCAGATCACGCAAGAACCTTTTATGTTCGAGCGTTGGCAACTGAGTGATCTCCGAAGTTAACTTCGGAGGCGCAATCAGATCAAGTGTATAAGCGCCTACACTTGATCCGTTATTGACTATGACATTCAATGTCTCTGTCATTTCCTGGGGACTTATTCCCTCAGGCTTCGAAGGACTTATTCCTTTGGCTTCCCGGGGACTTATTCCCGCGGGTTTCGGGGAACTTATTTCCGCCGTATTTGTAATATCGGGACTTATTCCCTTTACTTCCTCTAGCTGGGGTTGCGCAACCACAGCGAGATCCTCTACGAAAGACTATCCAGTCGATCTAGTATTACTGTTTAGCTAAACCTGAGCGATCGATTGTTTCTCTTCTAGATGTCCCCCGCTAGGGATACATCTTTGTCCCAGTCCACCCGACTTATTCGAGTGGTGGACCTTCGGCGCAGCCTGTATTTCCTCACAGCCGCCGGAACTTTGCTCCGAAGTGTAACCGTTTGGTACACTAAGGTTTTGTGCAGTCGTACTAACGACCGTACCACAAGTGAGGCCATCGCACTCACTCGTAGTACATCCACACGCTTGTGGACGTTCTCTAAAACGTTCATCAGATGGCCATCTGATGAACAAGCGGCAGGCATTGTTACTGTTCGATGCTGCCAGTTTACCCGTGGTTCGTACCTTCTGAGCCACGGTATTCCAAGGATGACATCAAATTTGTCATCCAAATCCAATACGATAAAGTCATCGTCATATTGGGTATCTTCTAGCGTATAGTGGATCTTCACTATACGCTTCATGACGGTTACGGATGCGCCTGTCGCAAGACGTACCGTCATCCTCGTAGGAGGTGTGTCACATTCACTGAATTTAAAGTGACCATCTTCTAGCGATTGGCGTCGCACAAAATTGTTGGACGCCCCACAATCGACTAGAGCTCGAAGGGACAACTTATTCGTCACTTCGAGTTTCAAGGTAATGAGTGAGACCTCATTACCTAGAGCAGCAACGCACAACGTTTGTGTGTTGGGAGCAACCTTCATCAAGAGGCCTACAAATTCTCTTGACGTTGCTGGATCAGTAGGTGCTCCGCACCTACTGATCCTGTCCGTTTTTTGGCGGTCCATCCCGTTGTTGCGTCTTTGCACCAACTGCGGACCCTCGTCCCTGCCCCTTTCTCATGGGTGGACGGTCACTACGCCCAGTGTCGCGAGACACTGGACGAGGGGCACTACACTCGTAAGCGTAGTGTCCTGTCTTTTGACATCTGTTGCATTTCTGCAACTTCTTGTAGTCTGTAGAGCGAGCCTTCTCGCTCTCTACATAACGGAGTTCCATTGGCTCTGGACCTCCGCTGTCATATCGTCTCGGTTGACGATATGATGACGAGCTGGCGCGAGCCTGTCTCAGACTGAAGTCTTCCTGCTCCGCAATGGAAATGGCTTGTTCTAGTGAATCTAGTTCAAGCCGGAACAGGTGAGTCTTGACGGGACCATCCGCAAGACCCTGCATGAACACCGAAACCAACGTGTGTTCATCCACCGGATTGGAACTTATACAACTCGTGAGATGTCGTATATGTTGGGCGTAAGCGTGCACATCACGCTTACCCTGCTTGAACTTCAAGAGTTCGGTTCGAGCCCTGAACTCAGCTCTAGGCGGTTCAAAAGTTTGTCTGAGCCGCGACTTGAAGACTTCCAACGACCCAAACGCATATGGGTCGTGCAACTTGAGCCCCAGTGCCCAAGTCTTGGCACGTCCTGCCAGATTTGACTGGGCAAATGCAACTTGCATATCCCCGTCGTCGATGCGACGCGCCCTTATGGCGTCATCCAATTCGACGAACCATCTCAAGAGGGAGTCTTCTTCGACCCCCCTATACTTTGAGATGTCAATCTTCAAAGTCTCGGGTCGACGCGAGTGCATCGACCCACCAGCAGCAGCCTGCTGCTGTCTCAACAGTTCAAACTGTTGAGCACCCTGTTCTCTCAACAACTCCGCTTGTTGAGAACCTTGTTGGTGAAGCAAGGCTACTTTCTCGCGTTCTGCGTCAAGTTCATTTTGAATGAACTTGGCGATAGTAGCATGTTGGGCATCTCTATTGAGAGCCTCTAGCATGACGCTAACAGCATGGATGCCCATGGTCGAACCCATTCGTTCAACCGCATCCCATTCGACATCGCTCAAATGGGAGTAGCCGTCACGCGTAGCGTGAAAGCTTTGGTCATCTTCATCATCCAGCATATTCATGTTGGATGTGAACGCGGTCCTTGGACGGACTACGAAGTGCTACCAGGTGTAACGGGGCATCCCTGAAGCTTGTACTGGTGACAGTACAAGCTACTTATTCTGATGAAAGAATAAGGCGGTGCCTGTAACTTCACGTACACTCGTACGTGCAGAGGAAGACGGTAAGAAGAAGCGAGTACTTGGTTAGAGTAAAAAGTAGAACTGTATTTATAATAGTTAATGTCTGCAATAAATCACTATTTATCTTCATCTAACTATGTCTAAATACAAATGTGTAAATCAGTTATCTGCTCACCACTCATTGCGTGCGTCTGTCGTGGCGCGTCTTCGTTGGTTGATATAATGGCCTATATCAACCAATTAGGAACTACTCGTAAGTGCTACAGAATATTTGTCCTTATGACAATATTCTGAGAATATAACTCTTATAGTTATATTCTATTAACAATTTCTTATAAATTGTTATGTAACGATTCACCCCGTTACACCAGTTGTTCCAAGCTTTGGTGCTGTTAAGGTGAGAACGAGTCGCCGGAGCATATCTGCTGGACCTTCCCCTGCGCGCAGGCATGTTGGCAAAAATCTCATCTGCCACTGGACGGGTAGGCGTTGGGATCTGGGCCATCTGCAGGGATTTTTACTATATAGTGCCAGCAGGCAGCCGCCGGCGCTATCGAAGGTGGTGGTAGATCGTATTGAACGCGAGAATCCCGACGAAGAACGTGCCTATGCGACGGTCTGGGCAAGATTGTGGCGAACCTGAGCAGCGTCTGCATTACAAGCTTGTGGCTACAGAGAAATCGCGTTAGGTTCCTAAGGGAGAGAGTAACGATAGAAGGCAGCGTCGAGGAATTTTGGGACATTGGCCTGCGGCAACTCCGGGCGGTCGTAAAGCGGGAGTAACGATGGGCGGACACGACAATTCAAGGAGCGCGTCTGCTATTATGTCTCAGACAAGTAGCCAGGCAACCAAGGGAGCCACCACCTCGGGTGAGGAGCCCCGTACAACTACCGGATCCGTATGAGACACTGGCGTTGCTAACCAGGCTAAAGCTAAACCAGACATCCTGCAACCATGAATAGGTTAAATAGACACGTCTGGTTCTCTCTCTCTCATCAACCAACCAGCGCTCACTGACGACACAGTGGTCATGACCACACACCAGACCGGGGAGCACGATACCGTTCAGCCTATGACCGACGACGTTAAAGATGGAGAAGAACAGTTGCCTTCGTTTTCTTAGTCGATCAAACTGGGCTTTGGCCTTGAGTCGAAGTGGACTGCAGCGACGAAGCCGATTGATATGGCATTGATGACCACGCCAATAAAGAAAACGGAAAATGTGCTAAAGGGTATGAGTTTGAAGACCCGGGCAAAGGAGGTTGCCTACCTGAGGCACCCCCTGTTAGTAAAGCACGATTTCGATCCAATTACCTCGGTCGATAATCTATCCACTATTATCGATCATCAGTTACAGTGCAGACCTCAGCACGAGCACCTAGGAGAGGGGTTTTGTCCACGAGGACGGTATGCATAGGGACCCGGTAGTTTCACAGTTGTGCACATGTTTGTGGGATCATTGTAGATGCTGTTCCGATTCCTTAGTCCAACGTTGTTGATGAGACTTCCAGTTACGCGGTGGCGACATGGACGGAGACCAGTGCTTCTAAAACATATCCATCTCATCCAGCAGCATGCTCTCTCCCTCCATCTTCATAGCGACTGATAAGTCACCTTCCAGTGCCGCTATGCCGTCACAGTCTTCCCCATTAGCACCAGCAGCAGCAGCAGAAGACGGACCATTCTCAACTTGCACCGCACGCTTTAACGCGTAATACGTAAGCAAGGGGATCGAATGGCATGTGTCGACCAACTTTTGCAGGGTGACAGCATTTTCGAGAGGAGGTGCAGGCGTTACCTCCGTCTGGTACTTCACGCTGAGTTCCAACGAGCAATCTGGTTGCGTGTTCAGCTCAATTAGCACTTGCCTGCCCGCACCCAAAAGGTCTCCAGTGTTCATCGTAATGCGCTCCGCCGCCGCCACGTCGACTTTGATATGAGCTACAATCATTCCCCCGAGCATATTTTCATCGACACTTGTTGTCATTCACAAATAAAGTGTTGTCATTGTAAACAAAACCAGCCGTACCGTTCACCGCATCATCGTTTTCTGCCGAGATGCGTTGGCCGAATACGTTACATCTGGAGCCGAAAGCAGATAGCAAGAGTGCGTGGAACAATAAGCTTCGTCCACATATCTGAAACACGTTGGCCAGCGTATCCAATGAGGCGTTCACCAACTGAATACGACACAATTAATATCAGTCATAAACATGCACGAGTGTTGCCATCACAAATGTCGTACCGGCATCGGGAATGAATGCAGATTGAGACCACCGGATATCTCTTTTGTCGTCAGGGTGTATTCTTGACGCATCGCTAACGAGGACCGTGAGGGAAACACTGAGCACATGCTGTGGTCTCGTGCAAAATGCAGCCGAGGGGAAACTGGTTTCTTGCCATCAGGAGTCGTCCAGCTTACAAACTCGTTAAAAAGCCGTTCGTCTTCATGCACGTCTTTTGGTGCTGTCGCAGCCACATCAACATGTTTGCGCATTATCACGAGCGCCAGTTTCCGAGCCTGTTGGCCAGCCATGACGAGTGGAATATCTGCAACAACATGCAGCGCCACATCACCACGCCATTCAATGAAACTAATACTTCCGGACCATTCGCCGTTCGCTAGCGGAGAGAGAACATCTGTGTGCGTGGATATGCTGGGCTCGTCGACATCACCATCAGATCTATCATTTCTGTCAACGGCTGCCGCATTTGCAGCACTAGATGCAACACCCGTCCGAGTATCGTCGTCAGTCTTTATGCGTTTGTGTGGAGGTTCAACCACAGGAAGGCATACGAACGGGTCTTTGAACAAAAGTCGCACGCCCTCCACTGCGCGCTTGACTGTCCAATATTGCTACAATACGACGCATACCTTTTAGTAGTCAACAACAAACCAACCAGCCCACAAGCCTTGTCTACATTACCTGGTGGTTGCACGCCTCAGTGGCCTTAGTAAAAAGTTCAAGCTCAAGCTGCTCGAAACTCACTGCGGACACATCATCCGTGAATAAACGCGATCTCTAGCTTTGAGCTTCAGCAGGCCCGACAAATGACACGACACACTCACTCGATGGAAACTTCACCGCTAGTTCAGCGCGATTGATCAACCGGTTCAGCTTTTCCTATGCAGCACACGTCGTCAAAGTGAGCATTTCTACAAGGAACCAAACGAAAGTGCTCGGATTCAATCGAACCGTGAAGCTTGCACTATCGCCATGAGCCAGTAGCTTCAGCGACGCCAGCAGGTCTTCATCCCTATCCGGAAACTGGCTGGATTGGTCTATATATGTTTTACCAACAACCAAAACATGATGATCAGATTCAGCAACACAAAACGTACGTGGTAATAAAAACTCACCTTTCTCGACAGTTGTCAGCGACGCCGTTTCGACGGCACCCTGCCAATACACAAAGCAAGTAACACAACAACACAATGAGCACATCATATCCCTGCTATTAGTAGCAGTCTCTCCACTTGTCCATTCTGCCGTACGTCTCCACCCGACAGCACAATGTCCAGCACAAAAGTGTCGCAGTAAATCGACAGCGATGCTTCATTAGGCTTGAGAATCTGCAGCTTAACCAGCGGACGGCTAAGACTTGACACGATCTTAGTGACCTCAAACATGATCTTGTAAGCTCCCACGCGTCCCTCCAGCTCGGCCCCTCGCAGTCCCGCTTCCAGGTCCAGTTTACTGACACTCTCAGCCAGAATAGTCCGCACAGTCGACACGTGGGTCTCGAAGCGTCGCACATCTTTGCGCAGCTGGACAAACTGCTGGTTGCGCGCGTACCAGTCCTTATGTTGCTTGAGCGTCTCAAATAAATAGTTGAGTCCGAACCGCCACGAGTTTTTTTCCGTCTGCAATCGGCTTTTTTGCTGGAGTACTGTAACAAGGGGTACGGTTACGCGAGTCAGGTTTTCTGAATGGGTACTAAATTAAGGTAATTGTCCGATAACACGTACAATGTTGCTGGAAAGACAAGCCATCGTTGCGCAAGTTGTCCGGCAACATCCCATCAAGGCACGACCGGAGACTGCTGGCGACGGAGTGGAGGTGGGGCGAGTTCTTGTTAGCCACGGCAGCCCCGCTCGCTCCGGAAGGCGTCGGTGCTGACATCGTGGAGTGGAATTGATGCGGATGTTGTTGCAGCAACTGAAGGCGCTTTTTTGTGACGAGCAACGTAAGTTTAGTCGTTTTCGCAGACAAGAATAAGTCACGTTGAAGCGCAATTGCAGTGGTACGCAGCAGAAAAAAGACACAGTGTGCTTATCTTCGTAATAACCCTCAATTTTGTCACTTAAGGTAGTTAGTTTACCATATCATTGATGTCGGTTGTTAAGTGTTACAGATGTCACAGGAAGTGGAGTGTAATGGCACGAATCACTTACCACATGATCAAGGTGTTTGGTGTCGGCACTAAGGTTACGTCGTAGTATGCGTACAGCCAATTAATTGCACTAGCAGAATACTGAAGGGTTTTGCAACTTGATTCAGTTCTCCGAACTGGATTACCTACTTTAACGGACGATCTCCAGAGTTTACTCTCCCTTATCTTATCGAGAACCTCATGACGTGGGGTGAAGCACCACTGAATCAAGAAATTGACAGAGTAGCGAGGAGGCCAGTTGACTTTTTCCAACGGCAGGAATGGGGCTCACAAATAAATATGCATCAGTCGAATAACCAGGCGCTTATCGATTTGCGCGAGCTGCTAAGTGCAGCGAATGTTGTTGTCCGAATGGAAGAACCAAGAATTTGAAATGTTCGTGCGGCGAAGGGCATGACATACTAGAAATGCAATACTGCCATACGTGGGCGAAATCAGTGTGATGATCCTGCCCTTGGTGCGACGAGGAAAGGCACCCGACTCCGGGCAATAAGCTTGCACCACATGCAGTTGTTCCATGGTAGTCGCTGGCTTGCGACGTATCGAACGTAAGCAGTCCAAAAGTCGACACCACGTTTCCTCGGAAAGCACAGCAGTGGTGTATGCTGCTCCTTTATGCTGCGTTAGGTAAAATGCTTTGAGGACATTTTTTCTGGGCTCATGGGTAGACAGTATCTACGTCCATCCTCCCTTGGTACGATAAGCGATGCGATGAGCGATATCCCAGTACCACACATTACCGGGGTTAAGCGAGTGAAATGGACAAGTCCTTATGCATGTGCTTAATACGACTTGCACATTATAGGCGTCCGGCACAAACGTATGTATGACTTACTTCTCATACCCAAGCGAGTGCCATCCAGTACGATGCCGCTACAAGCATGCGACTGGATCAGTAATACTCCGCAGTGCTCTGGTTAGCATCCAAACCAGGCAATGCATCCAATCGCTCTGCACCCATTCACATACATGTGTTATGCGTCCTCTTCTTTGGTAAAGCGTATGAGGCTCATGGACAAACTTACTCCCGTTGTCGTGAAGACAAATGAGGACATGTGCGCCTAACACACGAGCAACGCCTCTCGTCGGCCTCGAGATCCGTATTCCAGCTGGAAGCCGCCTCCATACACGCCTCGTCCAAGCTCAATGATGACATGAGGAGTCCTCATAGTTCTTCCGACATTCTCTTTTGTATACAACAACATTTGCAGAATCAGCACCTCGACAGCTTTTGGCCATGGCTGAAGCCCACACGCCAAACTGTGTAAGCGTCGGTTAGTTATCGACTCGCAGTAGCTTCGACCCTACATAGTCGAGATGAAGTTTGAGATGTAACTCGTTGTGACTTCGCGAACACCTCAAACTTTATCAAGCCATGATCAACGGACGCAGCTAGACACTGGCTTCTATCATCAACAGCAATCTTTTGCTCTATCGTCCCATTTCAGAAGATGTTGATCTGCGCAGATGATACCAGCTCTTGATGATCAATTCACTACAAAGGCTTCAATGTCCTCCCAAACGGCGTAGAAGTCGACAACATCAACGTAATGCGAAGTCGATCGTATATTGAATTTCTCAAGGTACCGCATCAAACATGACGACGCTTCAGAACCAAACCGCAGTGTATTGTTCGAGGCCTGATGCTGGTGACAATGTAGTTGCAATGCTGTCGACATTCGACGTTAATCCGGTCGCTATGCTCTGGTATCCTCGTCCCAGTCCGACTGACAAATGTAAGCTGCTTTTGACGTGTCACGGCGTCACTCTCTCATGCCTCTGCTTTCTTGGTTGTAGAAGCAGGGAACAGCAGAGGCAGTCGAAAGCGGCGACTAAACCAGCAGCTCGATGTTTACTTGATACAATAACTCGTATACCCAATGTCTCATATTACATCAACGTCGTCCTCAATGTCTTTGAGGTCTGGTAGGTTCTTGTCGTCAAAGATGACTCGAATTGTAAGCGAGCAACTGGGGCACGATGCGATATCTTCGCCAATGTATAGATCCTCGAGATCGATACTGAAGCGGTCACCACATGGACACGGGTAGTAATACGCTTGCTCCTCTTCGTCAAACTCCATGTCCTCGATCTCGACTTCGTCATATACAGCCGCCATCGTGTACTGTGTACCCACTTGAGCGCGTGCAGCCGTTCGTAGCCACGGATTTGCAATGAGTGGACAGCTGCTGGATAGGCTCACCTGTCAAAACCGATTGATTTATTCAAGGCATGCAGGGTACTAATGCACGGGTCAGCCTCACTAGCTCAAATGCCAGCGATACATCCTCCTTAGCGCCATTTTTCTAGCACCATGACCTACTTCGGACTGGTACTAAACACCATGTGACCATGCTGTCAACACTACGTCTTGCCGAATAGACGAGTTAAAAACCCTGGAGATGGTGCGCCATCGTCGACCGTTCCTGCAGTAGTTTTGAAAGCGCCCATTGTAGTACCCGCTGCTGCCTCGCTCTGCTGTGGTATACGTCGACGTCCTCCACGAATCGGCCGAATGACACCGTCGCCACTGTAAATGGACCCACCACGAAGGGTTTTGATCACACCAGTGTCGGCGCTTCCCATAGCAGCCATAAGGGCAGCGTTTGTATGATTCAGCTGCGCCTCAAAGTGCGAGCGCTGAGCACCACGGAAATCTGCAATTTGGTCCCGAAGATGTGTGAGCTCCTCCACGTGCTTCTCTGCTTGGGCTCGCATGTTACCAGCCATGATGCGATTGTTGACCTCCACTTGTCGGATGCGATCGTCACGCAGGGCCAGCTTCCTCTTCGCTTCCGATAGTTCCAACTCGAGCGACGCGTACTTTCGCAGCAACTGCCGGTGAACTGCCACGAGCTGCTCCAGCTTCTGCTGGATCGAGCGCATGTGCTGCCGTTCACGCGCTGACATGTTGTTTGAGCCAGTAGCGATACCGGGTGGAGACAACAGCTCCCCGGTTGATGTACCAGCGCGATCAGCCTGCGCTTCGAGATTCTGGATCCGTGTCATTTTGCGATCGATGTCTTCTTGCAGGCAAGTCTTCTCGTGATCGGTTGCTTGTTTCAACGCAAGGTACTCTTTCTCATACTCTCTCAGTTCGGCTTCGAGTGCCGTATACTTGGTCTTCAGATCCAGGTACTGCTGCAGGTCTGTGCCTAGTTCGGCGTTCTCAGTCGGCGACTCATTCCTCGATTTATGCTCCTGACCCTCTGCAGCATCCTCACCTGCACGATTCTGTAACCTCTGCTCTGCTGACTGTTGGTCTGTTCGGGCAATCATTTCTGCTGCTGCTGCTAGTTTACCGCCACCCGCAGTCGCCCTTTGTGCTGACATATCCTGCACGAGCGCATCGTACTCGCTCTGAATCGTCTCCGAGTGAATTTGAAGTTCCTTGTGATCAAAATTGAGTTTCTCGAAGTCGGAGCGCAAGTCCGAGTTCAAAGTCTCGCGTTGGCGTATCTTCTCTTCCAACGTCGTAGCTTGTAGTTCCTTTACTCGTTGTAATTCCTCCGATAACACACGCTGCGTCTCGAGTGCGTGGGCGTGCTCCTCAAGCTTAGCCGTGAGCAACCGGATCTCCTCCCCGCGTCGCATCGATTCTTGACGCTCCTCAGCCAGCTCTTCATCGAGCTGGGTCACTTTCTCCTGCAATTCTGCTAGTGCACGCCCTGCTCGAGCCGATGATGATGGTGGCGATTTATCAATTGCAGTATCCGGCACTTCCAGCTCCACGCCAATCACGCCGACACCTCTGTCAGGTTTAGTTTTAGCATATTCACCTGAAGCTGCGGCGCCAGCGATAGCTTCAGCGTCACTTTCTCCATCTGGGTCGTCCCTCGTCAAAACTCTGGCTTCCAGTGCGATAATATATGTCTGCTGCTTTGCTATCTTCCTCTCGGCCGCAGCAAGTAGTGCTTCGTACTCAGCAACACTGCGCTGTTCGTTGACCACTGCCTTGTTTGTAATCGACTTGGCACGCATACCGAATCGTAGCGTAGAAATCGTTTCTGATGCATTGAAGCTGCTTGGTGAAACGTTGATTATTAATGCCGTGCGCGAGTTACCACCGATCGACTCCTGCAGCACGCGGGTAAGCTTGCTGTCTCGATATGGCACGTGGGTCGCATGTGAGTCTGTGAGGGCATTGATGACCATGCCAAGTGCTGATAGCGACTTGTTGATCGTCTTTGCCTCTTCAAGCTGACGGCCCGTTGCGCCAGTCTTGCGCACCATTTCAGAGCCAGCAAGATCCACGAGGTATAATTTGCCAGCTTTTGTGGCTTGGTTTTCGAGATTGCGCTGGAATAGCGTCACCATGAAGACACTATGGCTACGAGAACTCCCCTCGTTCATTCCTGTCGCTGCCACCGCACGGTTAGCTGCACCTGCTCGCATAGCAGCCAGCAGTTCCTCGTCGCTCGTCACACACATTTCTGTCATGCCTTCGACGAATATGCCGCGCTGTGCGTCTTCACGGACTTGAAGATTCATCTTGGACTTGTACGGATCGAGCAGGTCGCGAATGCGCTCCATGTAAATCTCAATGTAGCTCACTTTCACGATAAACTCCATGTTCTCATCGGCATTCATGACGTTGTCAAAGATCTCGGTCGCTGTGCGCGGAATGATGCCCTGCAACTCTGGATGATCAATGTTGGCTCCCTCCATCGTGTACGTCTTACCTGACGATGTCTGACCGTAAGCAAAAATAGTAGCATTGTACCCATCCATAATATCTACCAGCAACAACAGCACCGAATCAGTCTGTAACTACATGACCCTTCACGTAGCTCCAGTGCATCCATTATACCTTGGACGACTGGACGAGCCACGTTCTCGAACACTGTCTCCTGGTTGTCCTCTTCTCCAAACACATGGTCAAATGTGAATTGCTGTGGATTGCCATCATTCGTCTGTAACGAAAAAAAAAGCATCATAGATCATCGTCATCATCCCCACCATGAGCTCTAGAGCACCCAGCGCCCCTCAGGAATAGCAAGCAATTGCCTCTTTCAACCTTGACTTTGATCTCCACGGTATCTGTAAAGACACAGCGCTGAGCTGCTGTCATCGTGAGCTCCTTGGCATTCTGCGGACGCACGCGGCAGTATACGCGCACGTTACCCATGTCGCTCTGCATCAACAGTCAGTATACGTATACGAGTTAGCTACGAAGCAACTTCGATCGATAGAGAAAGACTGAGACGCGTGTGGAGGCCGAGAGAACGCACGCAAGCGGACGAAGAGCGCGCCATGATCCGCTTCGCTCTTTATCGCTCTCTGAAAAGAGCTCTTCGAATGAGGTTGTAGATCGTACTTAAACGGGACATGGCTACATCAGCCAACACAAACAGGACAAGAGGAGGACTACTGACTTACTTTACGTCCGTCCGTCCGTCCGCGTCCATTCATACAAACTTCAGCACTAGGATATGGTGAGGGTCAAGAGGACGGGGAAGTGCACGTCAGGCACGTAATCGTCTCGAGTTTGCTGCAATGCTGCGTGTCTATGCACGATCAAAGGATCGTAGTCTCTGGATTCTTCAATGACAAAGCCGTGGCGCTTGGCAATGCAACAGAAGCGCTCCATGGAGCCATTGCGACTCGGTTGCAAGAGCAAACAGCGTCCTGACTTGGGCCGCAGCATGGTCTTGATCGTGTACGCGAGGTCTTCGTGGAACGCTTCGAAGAAGAGACAGTCGCTCGCAAACACGAGATCGAACGCGTGCTGCAAGTCGTGACGGAGCTTTGCCGTGCGCTCCCACCGCAGCAACTCGGTCGACAGGTCGACGCTGGAAGCCACTCCAGCAAACACGTGCTGCCTCTTGTTCTCTTCCATGCACACGTGCAAGTTCTGGACACAAAGTGGATTGCCATCTGTCACCAGCACGCGCTGGAGCGCCACAGGGGCACACGCGAGCAGCCCGAGACTGGCCAGACCGACCATTCCACTGCCCAATTCACAGCAGGCAATAGGCAGTAACTTGTCAGCGGCATCTCGTTGCTGCTGGACTTGGGAACAGACGCCACTTGACAGCAAGTAAGCCAGTAGAATCTCTTCAGACGGCCACGTGCGGATGTTGCCCGTGTTGTCCACGCCCTGGTACACTCGATGACTCAGTAGCTCCGTCACAGGTACTCGGGTCACGTCTCTGCGCTTCTCATGAACATACACGCGCTTTTTTAAGGGGGACTTGTTAGCGTTACTTAACGAGGCTCCCAATTCGTACGTCATCCAGACCCAACTTGGCTGGCCCTGAATGCTGTCGACCGGAACTTTCGGGTACCGAGGAAAGAACTCAGAGGCAGTCGATTCAGTAGACGTGGCAGCAACAGTGGGACTCGTGGACTGCAGCAACGCGGTGCGCAAGACGCGCCAATGGCGACTTGAACTCTCGGGCTTGCTCGTCGTCATTGCGGATCAGATGCTCGAGCGGTATCAGATGGCCGGCCACCGGGTGTTTTGATTGTGTGTGTTACACACGTCCACATGCGTTACTTTTGATAAAGTAGTAATAGCTGCTGTCGTAAATGGTCGAGCAGGCAGTAGTGTCACTATTTGTGTCATTCTCGCGAGTGACGCGACCAATCTTTCTCACTTCAGAGGAATCCCCGAGAAGGTCAAAATGCCGCTCGAATCGACTATGATCTGGTGCGTCTACCATCGCTTTTCATGCCCATTTTGCACCTTGACCATACGCTACGGTCTTTGGTCGTTCTATGCGTGCAAGAATTGTCTCTAGATGTCCATTATTGACGCTTTGGTGCTATTTTTGACCGCAGTTTGGACAATTCCGAGTGGATGCGGAATGGCGACTACATTCCCTCGCGATTAGAGGCTCAGCATGACGCAGCGAATCTGCTGTGTGGCACCAAGACGCAGTCAAATCCAGAGAGTACAGTGGGCGTGCTGGCGATGGCTGGGAAGAGGTACAGGATGCTGCAACCTTTGTGTCAAAAATAGCACTTGGCCAACTCGTTTTTGATACTTTTTGCAGCATCCAAGTCCTGGCATCGCCGACTGACAGCATGGGCACGCTACTAAGTGCGATTCATCGTGTCGAAATTGGCGGCACGATGAAGCTCGCGAATGCCATTCAGGTGGCCCAACTGGCTCTCAAGCACCGACGCAACAAGACAGGTCGATCTTTGCTGACGTGTCAAAAATGCATCAATGACAATTCTTTTCGACAGGAACAAGACAGCTGAGTGTCGTGCTGTTTTCGATTTTTGACAGGTGGTCAGCGCGTTGTGGTGTTTGTGGGCTCGCCCATCGAGGAAGACGAGAAGCAATTGACCAAGATTGGCAAGCTCCTGAAAAAGAACAACGTGCGTCTTACCGAATCGAAGCACGTCTTAATCAAAACCTCATGATCCGATGGTGTTGCTACTGCTGCTGCTGCTGGTTGATTGATTGGTGTAGATTGCGGTGGATGTGGTGAGCATGGGCGAGCTCGATGCCAATGCTGCCAAGCTGCAGGCGTTCGTGAGCGCCGCCAGCAGCAACAATAACAGTCATCTGGTGACAGTCCCATCGGGCGTGCTACCCTCGGACGTGCTGGTATCGTCGCCTGTACTGCATGGAGACGATGGGGCAGCTGCTGCCGCGGCTGCGAGCGGTGGCGGTGGCGGCGATGGCACTTACACTGAGTACGGCGGCGTGGACCCGAGCATGGACCCCGAGCTGGCTTTGGTGGGTAGCGATGCTGTCTTGGAGGACTGTAAGATGATGGGACCTGATGTTGTGTACTTTGCAGGCCCTTCGTGTATCGATGGAGGAAGAGCGTGCCCGTCAAGAGGCTGCCCAGAAGCGCGCAGCTGAAGCCGAGGCTACTGCTGTATCTGCATCTGCTACACCTGCTGCAGTCTCCGCTTCCGAGCAAACTGTACCAGCCATGGAGGCAGCCGTTGCATCGGCAGCGGCGCCCGCGGCTGCCGCCTCCTCGATGCCCACTCCTGCACCAGCGCCAGCGTCAAACTTGCCTTTCATGGACCCCAAATTCGTCAACTCACTGCTGTCGGGATTGCCTGGTGTCGACCCGAACGACCCAAAGATTCAGGCTGCTATGGCGCAGATGGCAAAGAAGGACGAGAAGAAGAAGGATGGTAACGACGAAGAGAAGAAGGAGGACGAGTAGAGGAGAACCAACGAGATGGTGTACCGCTGGCGCACCCAGTCGTCAATCTAAAAAACAGAGAATCGATTGACATCATCATGTCCACTGGATGGTCTCGATCGCCACAGCACTCACTTGTCAAACGTTAACGTCACCTCCGTCACGCGTCGGGACCTCGTCTCTTTTTGCGCGCAATGATTGGTGGCGTGTTACACGTATGACGTTGAAGTTGTCGTTTTGTCGCGTACTGGACCATCGTTGCATCACTGGTCTTCCTCGTCCCACGTCGTTCTCAGCCTAGCAGCACTCCAAACAGATTGTGTCCAGCTCTGTCACGAACCACTCACCTGAGAACGCTTCTTGACTCATTGATCGGTACATCCATCGGTCGAGTGGCTCACTCGCTTCTTTCCAACGCCACTCTCCAGAGCCAACAACAACTCCAGGCTTCATTTTGTAATTTCTTGCCAGATATCCCTTGAACTCGAACGACCAGAGCCACATAACTCATGGTTGTGCTTTTCCAGCGTAAGACCTCGACCTTGAGCGACGAGTCCAAACGGTTCCTTGACTCGCTACCCCCGACGTTCAGCAACCAGCTCCGCAAGCAAAGACAATTTCTACCGGTCTGGAGCTCGCACAAATACTGCCTCGTGATCAAGTCGACGTTTCTGATCTACCGTCGAGCGGGCCAAACCAAACGCACCGGAATGTCAGCATTCTGGCAGCAAAACACGCCACGGTATCTGAACTTGCAACACTGCGCAATGGAGCTCATCGACGACAACTCTGCTGGATACACCATCGGTCTCACGCTCATGTCGAGCAGAAGCACCATCTACTTTGCTGCTGACACGGAGAAAGACCGTGCAAAGTTTGCAGCGCAAATTGCTGCAGTGCAACATCGGAAGCTCTCGCTGGACGAGTTTACAACGCACAAGTTACTTGGTCGCGGTCACTATGGACGAGTGGTCCTGGCTCACCACGTGGTGGATCGGCAGCTGTACGCCATCAAAGAAATGAAGCTTGGCCAAGTGAGGACGAAAGTCGTGTTTGCCGAGCGAGCTGTCATGGAATGGGCCGGCGACCATCCGTTCGTCATGGGATTGGAGTACGCCCTTGCACGGGGTCGCTCTGTCTTCCTCATTTCAAAGTTCATGCAGGGTGGTGACCTCTTCTTGCACATGCGAAACAGCGGCGGCAGTTTCCACGAAGATGCCGTCCGCTTCTATGCTGCAGAGTTGCTGCTTGCGCTCGAGCACATGCACAAGATGCGGATCTTGCACCGTGACATTAAACCTGAGAACGTCCTGCTGGATAGCGAGGGTCACATCAAGCTGGCTGATATGGGTCTAGCCAAACGGTTGGCATCGCGAGCCGAACGTACCAAGACGGCGTGTGGAACGGACATGTACTTGCCTCCTGAGATGGCAGGGAGGCACCCAGGTGGTCATGGTCTGTCGGTTGATTTGTGGCAGTTTGGCTGCATCCTCTTTGAGCTGTACACTGGGTATCCACCCTTCTTCCTGCCTCAGTCGAGTCGAAAAAGCCTACGCCAACGCATCTTGTACCAGCCAGTACGCTTCCCAACTGACATGTCGTCCGAGCTCAAGAGTTTAGTGACGGCGTTGCTGGAAAAGCGTCAGGAAGACCGGCTTGGCTATGATGCTGGAATCAGCGACATCAAAGCTCACGAGTTCTTTGCTGGACTCGATTGGGACTTGGTCTACCAGCGTCAGCTTGAGCCGCCACTTGTTCCGGGACCTCCTGGTAAAGAGCTGGTTGCAAATTTCGACGTGCAATTTACCGATCAGCCGCACACAATCTACGCACCGGAAGAGATTGCGAGCTGCTTTGAGCGTGACTTTGTTGGCTTTGACTATGTGCGACCTTTGCCATCCAGTGGAGCGATGACCGGTAGTCGAACGGCAGTGTCGTCAGCTTCTTCTTCTAGTCGTGCAAGCACCGTCAAGGATGTGCGTGAAAGTATCGAGTGTAGCTTTGGACCTGCAAATCACGAGTAGCACAGTGAGATGGGAACATACCTGGAGGTCGAACAGGTAGTTGACTCGGTCAGAGTCAAGACTTACTCGTTCGTGCGAGCAACCGGATTGTCGATAGCTATTTATCTAATTGTCAGGCGGCGTCTTTGCATTTGTGATCCAGTTTATTCGTGTCGTGCAGCGGCTGTGCAGGCAGCAGTGTTTGCGACGTTCACTTCCGCGCTGCAGCACCTTGCCATAAGCTTATGAGCTTACGATACAGTACAGTCACTGCTTTCCGAGATCCTCCGCCGTTGACTACTGCGGGTGGGACGCTGCTGCTGCTGCTGCTGCTGTGAGTGGCGCAGTCGTTCCTGTTCCTGCTCACACTGACGCGTCTGTGCATCAACCTGCCGTTTGTGTTCCTCATAGTATTGCTCGGCCCGACGCTGGGCCTCCAACTCTTCCTCTGAAAGCAACAGTTGGCCGTTGGCAGCAACGACATCATCGGCCAATCCAATTGTATTTGTGTCACGACCGTGATCATCATCTTGGCCACCGCTGCCATGTCGCTCCACGCTCCCTTCGTTATGGCTGTTTCCAGCTGGATCTCGTTCCGCGGCATTACTCAAGTGTGGGGACGACACGTGCCCGCTGCCGCGCGCTAGTTCCTCTTCCTCCTGCTGAATTTTCAGCGCTAACAGGTAATCTGGATCGGCGACATTGTCCACGTTTTGTCCAACAGACTCGCTGACTGATTCACCACTCGACATCGCGTGTTCAGTAGCTCGAGCATCGTCACCAGCACTGACTTCTTGCTTCGCATGGATGGGAGGAGAAACACATTTCGCAAGGCTCAAGACCCTAGCTTCTTGTAACGTCTGCTTTTCTGCTTGCTCTTGCTCCTGCTGCTGCGTTAAAATACTTGTTTGCTGCTCGGATGACGTGACGGGTCGGAAGTGCGCATCAAGGTACTCAGTGTCTCCGTCAATTTCGTTCAGCAGCTCCCACACCACCGTAGGCTCGTCGAGGTACCCAGCATCGGTGATCAGCAGATACAGCTTACCTCCAAACTACGTGTCAAATAGCCAACATGCGGATCAGTCAAATGGCGTACGACGAACGAAAAGGAATTGAACGAGACTGAAACATTGCTCGAAGCCTTCATGCGTACCTTGAATAGAGTAGAAAAGTGGTTGTTGCGGAAAAAAACACAAAGCTGACGTTCTCGGATACCTTCGTGCAGCTTGACGAGACCGTAGTATGTAAGCTGGCTAGCAGTGGCGCTAAAAAAGGCATCGAGGACTGGACCTTCTTCGAGAAGCGTCGTGGCCGTCACCAGCGCATCAGCATCGCTCATGTGGCGCTCCTTCATCATCGCCTGCACAGTTTGCTGCAACGGACTCTTCTGTGGAGACGACGTCGACGCATCTAAATCAACGGATTCCGGTCCATTTGGCACGGCAGACGCGTCGTTGGCAGCATCAAGCGAAAGGTCTCGCAATCCCAGCGTCTGGACATCTAGTGGTGCTGGAACAGAAACTACCACAGGCATTGCCCCCTCTTTTTCCGCGTGTACCACCGCAGCATCCGGCAGTAACGCATCGCCTTTGTACTTCTTCTCCTCAGCTGCAACTTTTCTCTTGTTCTCCTCTTCGGTCAAAAGTAAACCACGGTAGTCCACCAACCGCTCAATCAGCTCATTGTACGACTTATTGCCCACCACTTTCATCTACAACGCATACTCGAGTCAGCTTCCACATATACAGCCAGCAAAAAATCCAGCTCCTCCAGCAGCTACGCACTGTCAGATCATCCTGGTCATCCAGCAGCCAGCCATGTACCAGCTCCATGTCCAGCATATCAAACACCGCACAGGCTACCGTATACTCAAAGTCCGTGATCCTACAACAACAAAAAACAAGCCCAAAAACAATCCATCAGCATCTCTCTCTCTCTCTCTCCCCGAACTCACAACTCACTTATGAAACCGCACGTTCACGTCCAGCCCTCTCAACATACTAGGCAACAGTCCCACCACGTCTTCCAGCGTCTTCTCTTGCGTCAGACGCTGCAACTCGCTCGCATCTTTCAACTGCATTCACCACATACAGCACCTCCGTCAGTCCAACCTCTCTCTCTCTCTCTCTCTAACCCCATCTCTATCCCCCTCTGGAACTAGTCCACGCACGGGCGGGTTCGTCTCGAGCAGTCGCTGCTGCACGAGTCGCATCAGATCTCTCGCGCCCACAAAGCCAAAGGACGTGACGGCCCCTCGAGCGTCAGTTGGCCCCGCAAGAGCAGCACGTTGGCGATGGCCAGCAGCGGACACGGGCCGTTCCCGTTCTGACAGACGTAACGCAACGTCTTCCCCAGGAACTCCGTCTGCTTCACCGCGTACGCTTCGTCCATGACCCACACACGGCCTCGGGTTGATCTCTGCGTCGATCTGATTCGCGCAAACAAAACTAAAATTAGCAGCGACCCCTAGTCCTAGTGGATTCGACCGCGACCCCTAGTCCTCGTGGAATCGAACGTACCTGTACCTACTACGTCCAGCCAGACGTAACCTTGGCGTAACGCGTACTTAAGCTCATGTGTGACACGTCAATTGGATCGGGACAGCAACGAGTAAGCAAATCGAATCAAGGGATGGACCGCGCAAGCGACCCGAGCTGCGTGACCCGCATGTGCCGCGCTTCCCAGTGATCATCGCAGACCCGACGTTCAAGCAAGTACGAGATAACATGAACCAGGCGGATTTCGTCCAGAGCGCAGTCGTTGGCGTTGCATCCTTCCCACTTGGGTACATTGTCGGTGCGTTGTTGTTTGTTCGTCATTTGTTTCTATTTGTGGCGCTTCTTACAGCTGGAGAATGTCAAAAGGACGGTACTCATGGATAATGACATTGTCTGTAGCTGGTCAACTGGATCGTAGCCTCGCGCGCCCCGGAATGTGGTTCACGGGTATTCTAGGTGCATTGGGTGGCGTCGCGTTGGCCTTTCAGAACTCCTCGCTGCGTCTGCAAGGCTTTGGACGCAATGACGAAGAGGTGGCACGGTACCAGCAGTCGACAAAGCAGCAGCCGTGATGTGTGTCAGATATGAAGATGAGTGAGCGACGTGGGGTTTGCTTTGACGGTGTCTTGATGGCAACGTTTGAACCGGGGACGATGTTTGACATGCCGCTGAACGTTTTGTCGAGAAGGATGAGGATCAGATCAGGGGCGTGCCATACGTACTCACGAAGTAAAGCGTCAGTGCAAAAAGAGTGGCATTATACCAGCACGTGAGAGTCTCTCTGCCTGCAGCAGTTGTTACTGTCGTCTAGCTAGTTGACGCAGGTTGACTGTCCAAAAGACGGTATAGTAACCTCCAGGAGATACGTATACCTCTTGCCTAACGACCCAAGTGGTAACTTGCTGTAACAAAGTGTGGCGTATACTGAATAGAGCACGGTATTGATCTCGGAATTGAACTGAATTCCGATCTCTCATGCATTCCTACTTCACATTCTTACTTTTCAAATCTGAAGTAACACCCACCTGCCACCGCCTCGCCTGCTCCTCTCGTCGCCAATCATTACCGAAATCCCCTCGACGACAACAATGGAGCACGTTGACCAGGTACTTTTGTCCTCTTGAGGCCTGCAATTGAGCGTTTGAGACAACAAAATACAAAGAAGAAGAAGAGAAGAAGAAGAAGAGAAGGAGGAGGAGACTATGGGGTGTCACGACTGAAGACTGAGTTGCCGGGCGGTAAGTCAGATAGCAAGTGGAGGAAACAAAGGGGAAGACAGAAGCATCTGTTCGCTGTGGAGGTGGGAGCTAGTGACTGGCTGGTGTCTCTCTGGAGTCGTGACGTACCGTACAACAAGACACAGAGAGAAACGGACAGAAGGAGCTGGCTAGCTAGTTGGTTGGGGTGATGGCCCACCAAGGCTGTAATCCACACGCAATCGCTCTTTGTATTGAGCGATCGTCGAGTCAAAGCAGGAAGAGAGTGTGAGAGAGTGGTGAGACTGTCGCTAGCTGCAGACAGTCATGATCTTCTGTCGCTGATTCTCTCTCTTTTGCTGAGACTGCGAGACCCTGAACCACTAAACACGGTTTTCAACCGACTCATCATCGGTAGGACCCTTTGGATCTCTCTTGGAGAGGTCCGCGCTAATGCTGTCTGCACGCTGCACCGCAGCAGTCAACGAAGACAGAGCAGTGCTCTTGTTCTTGTACCCCTCCTTCGTCTCCTGTTTTCCTTTTTCCTGTCTGTACAGCTGCTGGTCACTTACTGACTCTTGTGTGATTATGAAATGCAGACGGAGAAAGCTTACCAGAAACAGCAGGGCGTCTTCCTTGCCAGCAAGAAGTTTGCCGGCAAGAAGAAAGGCCCTCGCTTCTACAAGGAGGTGGGTCTAGGCTTCAAGACCCCCAAGAGTGCCATCGAAGGTCAGTACGTGGACAAGAAGTGCCCGTTCACTGGCAACATCTCGATCCGTGGCCGTATCCTCAAGGGTGTCGTGCTGTCGACCAAGATGAAGCGCACGATTATCGTGCGTCGTGACTACCTGCACTTCGTCAAGAAGTACAAGCGTTTCGAGAAGCGTCACAAGAACGTGGCTGCGCACTTGTCGCCGTGTTTTCGCGTGAAGGAAGGTGACGTTGTCACGATTGGCCAGTGTCGCCCGCTTGCCAAGACGGTGCGTTTCAACGTGTTGGAAGTCGAGCCTGCTTCGGAGACCAAGCCCATTAACGTGCGCAAGCAGTTCCGTCAGTTCTAGAACTGCTCTGTGGCTGTCGGTGCGCTGAGGTTTGGAGGTTGGGTTAGTAGCTTAAGCTGATACATCAGCCGCTTCTATTCGGAGACGGGGGATCCATCGTGTAACTTGTGCTGTTTGCGTCGTTAGTCTTTATGCAGCGCCCTCTTGAGTCGTACAAATTGTTTATCGGGTCGCTCTTCTAAGTCCACAGAGAAACGACGTCGATACGTACTGGACGCCTTGTGATTGACTCACGGTTGTAGGAATGCTGGATGGGTACAATGGCCAGGGTTGGAAATCTAGACATGTGGGTTTCGGTGCTCGTCATCACAGCGTCTTTGCTGACGTTGTGATCGTTGGTCGAATAATTTATTCTCAAACTTTATTATTCAGCACAAAATTCCAGATGCACCGACGCCTTTGCGCTTTCGGCGTGCGTGTTTGTATGCAGCTATCGAGGACAAAGATGTTTACAATCGTGTTAATTCGTGACAACGATAACATTAGTTAAAGCGTCTGAAGATTGATGCAAAATCGACAATGGATAGCTGTTTAATAGCTCATGCCTGTCACTGCTTTCATTGTGTAGTCTAATGTGGGATGTACTTGTGTAGTTTCGCCACAAGCGTGGACATGCAGCAGCTTCCACCGCTGTGGGACTCGGTATTTACACATGAACTAAGCGCTCTTGCTTGTCTACAAGCCTGCTGCATCCACTCGACATGAACACAAATATGTGGCCCCAAAGGAGGAGGTCGTGACCAGCCTGAGTTATCCTTGGGTAGGCCTCGCTCGCTTGCACTTAAAGTGTCTCACTCTTTCGCTGCATGTGGACGTAGTGCTCCAATTGCACTTCATTTGTAAGCTGAGTACATGCCGAGCACTCTGACGTGAGAAACACGAACGGCAGGACGTACCCTGTCACGCTGAGTATGACGAATTATGGTACAGCTGCCCATGCTGCCCACCTAGACACCATGAGCACCCACCACATCACATCGCAGCCATCACACACACTGCAAGTGCTGCCGTGAACAAGGCCACAGCATGGTAAATCGAATTCATCGAGCCACGAATTTGACTTGGCGGGATTCCTCGGCTCTATGAGAGAAAAAGATCCGTGGAGGCGTTGCTGCTGGTCACCCGAGCACAAAGCGGTGGTGATGAGTACTCCACTGTCCTGAGCTGGGTAAAAAGCAGCAGTAGCATTGCCAGAATAAAATGGAGGTTAAAGGTGTAATTAAAAATGTTTTTCAATTGTGCTTTATGAGCAGCACCGTTAGTTGCACCTCTCGTTGAAAATACAGTAATCCGAGTAGTAGTTGACATGCCGCTCCATCACCTTTATAAACGCGCTCTTACTGTGTAAATGACAGACAACCGTTGAGAGCAACAAAGCCGTGGGTTTGGCGTCCCTAATCGTTCGTGGTGAAAATCGGAGGTTGACATGATCGTGCTGGAAGTGTCTACTCCCATCTGTCGGTGCAGCGCCACCCACTCGAGCAACTGCCTATTTCATTATCAACAAATGCGGTAACTTGGTGCATCAAGCGATTGCATCGGAGCCCTTTGTATTGGAGACAAAGGAGCCACTCTACAGAGTGATAGATGAGCACTTAATGGCGTGATTACTCTAGTAGCAGGAGTAGACGATCGCTAACTGACAAAATCTGGTATTGTAAGCACATTACGATGGAAGAATGGGTGGGTGGGTGAGTGAGTGAGTGAGTGAGTGAGTGAGTGAGTGAGTGAGTGAGTGAGTGAGTGAGTGAGTGAGTGAGTGAGAGAGATGTTGCATGGGATGAAAGGTGCTGTCCCGGTTGCCCTTGCGGAGGGTGACGCAGTGAGTTTTCGTGTGTTCTGGTTCGGTCACGCGTAGCAAAGAGACTTTTGAGAGATCTGTCGACGCTCTCTACACTAGCATCTTGAACGGGATTCACTTGTCCATCAACGACAGTCTACATCCAGCGCTAGGATAATACGACGTACGACTGCTTGCACGGAATGACAACGAAGACGAGAAGTAGACTGCTGCAAAGTCCGAACATGATCGTTTCAACGATGTTGACTTGGTCGACCCTTGTATGATACGCGCCATGCGTAACACCACAAGCTTTGGTGACGTTGTGTGTTTCACGGCCGGCACTTTGTACGAAGCGAGTATATCTGTACTATCACAGCCTAGTCCTTCTAGCACGACTAGCAGCACCATTGTCAACGGCTCGAACCATCGCATCAGTACCGAGATACGTTGACCTGCACGAACCTCCAAGCTTGTCAAACTCGAAAATGTGGACTGAAGACCGACTCGATTGTTCTCCGTTCTATCGTCCGTGTCTGGCAGTGTTGTACTCAAAGAGTCGATAGGAGGGACCCGGGGGCATGCCAACGTATCGATGGTACGACCTTGTTTGCTCGTGATTACGTTCACTGATCCGGGCAGCCCCGGCGTATGGACACCGCCTAATGATGTACAGCCGCGACATTGGTCTGTCTAGGATGAAGGTCGGTCTGTCCACCGTCTGAAGACGAGCAGCCTTCCCTACAACTGCAGCACCGGGAGTGTATCTGCTGGGTCGACGGAAACTCGAGGTCGTCTACCTTCGCGCGCTGTATGTCGGTGGTGCAGCACTGACCACCACCGATGGCGTCCCCGGCCTTTGTGATTGTGTGGTTGAGGTGCCGCGCGCTACCACAGCTGCAAAGGCGAGCCTACCGAGAGACTGATGACGGCTCGTGGCACAAACAAAGACAGCAATGAAGAGCGCGGACTCTGTGGCAGACAAGGTGGACCTCTTGGCAGGAAGGGTGAAGTTCTTGTGGAGACCAATGAACCTGCGGCTGACGCTACACGTTCGTCTTTCGAGAATCCACGCTAGCGACGACCATCTCCACCTCTTCAGGGCATCCCGTCACCTTTGTCATTCTCCCCTAGAGATAAGAGTGTAAGGATCCTGACTAACGTGCTCTCCAAGTATGGTTTCGAGTTGCTATCCTCAATAGTGCTCGACGATGCCTATCGCGTGTACAAGTAGCCTGAACGTTAATACAATGACCACAGCTGACGGACTAGCAAACGCTTGATGGCTTTCCACAGTCGCATCGGTACGATGTCTTCTCCGTCTCCTACTGACGCGTCCACTAAAAGTTGACTCGATACCGCTACACTTGCCATCTGCTTCCATCTTCGTCTCCGGTATGCGTTCGTGCCACTCTTCCGTCTCGTTGGTTCCCCCAAAGACGCGTTTGTCGCTTCCGGTGCCAGCGCATCTACTCTTCTTTCGAGTACTGACGGCAAATGACTTGCGTCGCGTATTGCAAGACTCGGTGACTCAAGGCAGAACCACAATTTACAATAAGTGGTAAAATGCAAAGCCACTTCCAGACTCTTTCAACGAAAGCATTTCTTCAGCTATGTTTGAGAATAGCGCGAATGACCACAAAAACGTCGAGAATGGCTGAATTCCAGGCTCTTTCATATGACACTCGAACAGGAAGAGCCCAACCACGAGTACGAACATACATCCAGAATGTTGCGCTCCAGCTCAGATGCAGGTGTTCTGTCCGTTAATAGCAACTCCGCACAAGGACGTGTGGCAAAGCACACGCCCGTTGGTCGCCCCAAGAGCAGCTATTCGGCCGGCAACCACACGCGACTTTATTGTGCCCCTTCCTTTGGAAATACTCGATAGATGCCACTGTCTCAGCAAGGGGCTCTCCGGTAAACATCATCCATGTGTTGGTGCGGTTTCTACTCGAGTAAGTCAGGTTCATCTTCGAACTCATCGCCGCGTTCTTCAGACAGCAGAAACGAGCCGAGATCGTTCGGGTACTTCTGAGGCTGGCCAAGCAGACTGAGCAGCACTGGCAACAGTGCCAACCCGTGGAAACAGCCCAGCAAGACGATACCCAAATACATCCGGAAAAAGTATACTCGGAATAGCATGGACGGTGCGAATGCAAGCACACCGATACCACAAAACTTGGTCAGTGTGATGCCCGAAAAGATTGACGCACCGACACTGGTCAGAGCATAGCGCGTATGGTCGTCGGAAGTACTTTCGACATGCCGTCTCCTTGAGAGCGAAAACTGATGAGCCATATGCACACAGAACTCGACGCCTAGTCCGATGCAAGCAAGAAGATTGACCACCGAGATTGCATTGATGGCCGTTTCAGCACGAGGTCCCGCTAGCAGGTTCCACACGAAAAGGAACCCCAACTGCGAAAACGCCATCGACGAGACACAAAAAGTGACGACAGCAGCCAAGCGTAAGCTCCCATCCATAAGCACAAATACCGCAGCAAATACGACAGCCAATGCCAACAGCATACTCTGCAACGCTACTCCTTGAATGTATGTGTATTGCTCTTCGAATACAAACACAAGAGCATACGGGAAAGCAGTAGCGGCTCGACCGGAGCTCCAGGCACTAGTCACATCGTGCAGGTAGTAGTACGAGTTCACAAATATAGACTGGTTTCGCATCGCATTCAGCTGAAACCGCATCCGAGAGCCGGTAATCGTTAGGCTGTTTGCATTGCTGTCCTCGTCAATGTTCGTTTCATTAAACACGATGTCGCCTTCGTACTGCGCACCACAAAGTCCAAAGTGTTGACAGCACGACGATTCAATCGAGATTTTGGTAAACTTCTTCACTAACGGGTAAAACAGCGCGTTCGGAGTCACGTTCGCTGCAGCTGATACATAATGTTCAAGAGAGGCGGGCAGGAAAACGTCACTATCCACGACATCCGCGAGCTCGTACGGAAATGGGTCCATTGGTTGGATCGGGCAGTCGCACAGACCTTGGTCGATCTTGTCTTGAAGGAAGAAGCGCATTTGGCGCCACTGATTAAACGTGTGCAACCACGAGTAAATCGGTAGCTCAATGTACTCGCGCAAGCCCGAGAGCTCGTCCAGTAGAACATTTAGATCCCCCTGCTGCTTCCCATCGGTATAATCCACTGTGCCGTCAAGGACGATGTACGCCGGGGGACCAGCTTCACCGAGCGCGGTCTGCCGTTTAAAGTACTCATGTAGATAAAAGTCGGTAGGTACCGCAAGCTCTTGCTCTAGCCCGAGATGAAGTTTTGATGAACCAAAGGCACTCAGTGTCAATATCGAGAAGCCGGCCATGAGCACCAGTATTTTGGTGGATCGTCGCAACAAGAACGGAGTGTACGTCTTCACCACAAAACGCTGAATAACCCCGGAACTACTCGGACGTGTCGAAACCTCTTCAACAGAAGCGCTGTCATCGACGAGAGATTCGTACTGATAGTGAACCTCCGACTCACTTTTTTTACTTTCCTTACTTACTGACGTGAAAATGGGCGTTTGCTGGATCCACGGGAACAGATCGTACCGCCGGGCTCGCACACGGCGTGTGTCCAGCACAAGCGCTGCGACAAACCACGTCATTTGAAGCAAGAAGTTGACGAGGACCGCCAACCCAGCCACAACACAGAAGCTTGTAAGCGCTGGTATCCGCGTGAGCGCACCCACTGAAAAAGCCAATGCTTCAGTTACCGCCGCCACCGCAATTGACGGTCCGACATTCTGCATAGCTTCTCCTGTAACTCGCTTTAGCAGCAACAACTCATCCTCAGCTTGATCACGCATGTGGCGGTTTTTATTGAGCGTCATAAGGCCACGCAGTGCTGCCAGGCGGTCAAATTCATTTGCTAGGATGAACATGTTATCCACACCGATCGCAAGCACCAAAAATGGCACGACTTCGAGCGTGATCATCGTCACTTCCATCTGCAATATTGCACAACTTACGCCCATCGCAGCACCAAGCGACAGGAGCACAATCACAATACCGGTAAAGCCAAGTCCGAAGCGCGAGTGCACTGGATCCTGAAATTTGCCTAGCGAAGCGGACACGTAGAAAAACATCACCAGATAGCTCACCACAACAATGAAAGCATTTTGTCTAGTCTGCACCACCAACGAGTCAGCAACAGATCGTTCAGCCATGTACGTGAGTCTCACGCCATCGACGCCAGCGTCTGCCAGCTGCTGGTCTTCCACACCGTCCCATATGTACTCGTCACCGCTATCCTTCTTCGAAGGCATCAACGATTGTGCTGCTCGTTCCGCCGTCTTGAGAAAGACCTCTTTCTCCCACAACTCAACGTATCGCGTGTACGTTTCGTTCTCCGGCTTGCTATTCAGTAAGAACGTGACAATCAAAGCCTTGGCTTTAGGAGTCGCTTCTCCGCACGGGTCTGGATTTATGTGGCACTCGTCTCTTGCCAGTCCACCGAAAACCACGTTTCTCATCACTGGGACGCCATTCTCGTCCATGCATGGCGAACGGGACTTGAGCTCCGGGTCTGTCGTCTGGCACGCTGCCGTTAACTTGATGTCCGGGTCATTTTGCAGCAACGTGGCGTTGCTCAGCCAATACTGGAACGGACTCGTGATTAAACACCCCTTCCCTTGGATCGGCCGGTAGCAAAAGTCCGCCAAACTCAAGGATACATTTGCGTCATCCGTACCACTATAGACGACGGTATCGTTTGTGATTTGTGTCTGGATTTGAGCCATCGGTAGCAAAAATCGGCGCTGGACTAAATCCTCGGCCGAGTCACACGTTGCAAAATCAGGGTCCAAATTGGAGCCTAATTTGGAAATTGAGTCGTCGATGTAAAAAATGAGTTGCTGGATGCGGAAAAAAGGTCCAAAGAGCTCGTCAAAGCGCGCTTGTTCCTGGGCCGCGACGCTGTTTGGAGGCACCCAGAGACCTTGAGGATCTGTCTGCAGCTGCATGTCCAGTAGACCTAGACATAAGAACAGGCTGCAAAGTAATGCGCAAAGCGCCACGAGCACTGGAGACTCGCTGCAGAGCGCGCCCAGGCGGAAGAAAGGGCGCATGAAAAAAGAGCTGGAGATCGACGAGAGGTGATTGATTATACAACAACTGCGAATGCTGCTGGTTTTGCTGCCGTATCTATGAAATGGCAGCTCCAAACACTTCGTGAAGGAACTGACTGCTGAGCCGAAAGCTCTTTAGTAGCTCCTAAAATAGCTGGAAACTTTCTAAAATAAAGCCTTATTCAGTTGCTGCACCAACAAGGCCTAATTTGCACGACCTTTTTCCCTTCGATCATCGAAGGCCGGAAGCAAATGTACCGGAGCCAACTTGATCAGCAGTCGTCATATGTAAGCATTCTGTAGCCACCCGATGTGAATAGCTCTAGTGAGCAGTTATAGGCGTATACATCGTGCCAAACGTCAAACAAACAAACAAACGATAGCGCTCGAAATCAGCAGTGCTTTTTCCAAGATTGCGATGAGGTAGTCAGTTCACAGCTTGTAGCGGGCAAGCAGGCAGGCAGGGCGAATCTCATCATCGAAACGTGCGGCAAGCGGGTGGTACAGAACTCTGTCGTGTTTACAAGAATGCGCTTGGTAGATGAACGCCGATACAGGAAGCAACCGACCGTTTTTAAATTGGTTGGGGCAATGACGCCTTACATTTGCATCTACGTAGCGAAGGTCGAAATGGTAGGTGACAAACGCAGCGGAATTGAAGTTGCTGTATGGTTTGTAATTGTCGTTGTGGCTAACGAATGCAGATGATCGTAGCAGCCCACAGCTTTATCCCGTAAAACTCAATAATTCTGAACCAGTATGAGGATAAACTGATCACAGCCTGAGCTAACAACTACATGCGGCATCAACACATCATCCATTTCACAAATCTCGTACTCCAACGTCCACATGTTCGAATGTTCTCTATTCTGAAGCGACTTAATCGGCAAGAAGCTCTCCGAAAACGTACAAGATACTTATCGATACGTGGGTGTCTGTCCTGGCGAAGCTACAAAACACTCCCATCACCTTCGTTGAATCGTGAGCCAGTATGCGACACAACGTGGTACCATTCACTTGGATCTACTTCCTCGACCAAGTTTTGCAGATAGCAGTGCTAGACGCTTACTTCTGCTTCTTGAGCTTCTCCTCGTCCTCCTCGGCCGCGTGCTGCTGAGCAAACTGCTCAATGCACGAGATTGCAAAGTACGCAATGAAAAGCACCATGACCCAGGAGCCTAGCTTTGAGACCAGACTGGTAGTAGGAGCCGCAGCTACACCCGCATGCTCTGCGGCTGCCTTGACCTGTGCCGAATGAAACTTTTCGCGGCACTCGAGCAGAAACTCGCTAACTCGGGACCCAAGTCCCCACTGCTCAGGAGTGATACGTCCAATGAGTGCCTCCACTCGCTTCAGGTGCGCGTCCGTAAAGATGGTGATGAAGAACGCGGCTTGCACATTGACCTTGATCAGTGCTTTGCCAATCAGCGTGGCGCCAAAAAATGTCCAGAATGGCATGAGGAAGTGTCCACAACAGATGCCACAGAGATCGAAGGCCATATTAGGCCAAGCCGACATGAGCAAGACCCCCCAGAAGCCGTGCTTTTCCAAAAACTGGATCATCCAGTTCTTCATGCTGTTCATGAGGTTAAACTGGGACGTGGCCTCAGCAATCTCTTCAAACTCTTCATTGCGTTGCCCTGCAAGTTTTGCAGCACGACTGAGCGCATAAGGTGGAATCTCTCCGGCAGCAGTACCAGCTCCCCACAGCATACAAGGAAGAAAGACTTTCCAAAAGATCGCTGCAAACGTGACGGTCGAGACTTGAGGGACGTGAGTGCAATTGGCTTCGAACGGGTGGAACCACATATGATGGCGAGTATCAAAGTCCAGTGATTGGCACTCCTGTGCGCCCTGCACGACCAGGAAAATGTGGGGAAACAGGAACAGCACGCCCGAGTGCATACCTGTACCCAGTCCCACGCTCGAGAGCACGCCCAGGCCGACCCACCAGACCACAAACTTGACGCTCTGATTGATCTCGTCCAAGAGTGGGCGGTGCGGTCCGTCCCGACTCGAGGCCACGAGCCACAGCAGCAGTAGTGGAAGCAGCACGAAGCGCGTGGCGGAACTGCGCTGGATCCGGAGTGCCAGCCACTTGACAAAGCGCAAAAACACGATACTGAAGTGGTACAAGACGCTCAGAGGTCGTTGAAAAAGCGTCAGCTTCTTCCGCTCTTGACGCAGCTGCTCCGCGAGGCTCTTGCACGCGTCGGGGCTCGCCATGGTCTCTGCTGTCCGACGACTGACGACGCGCTGCGAGACCGGATGACGTGTGGCGTCGACTGCCATCTCTTGGTTATGAGCGGTGCCATGTCATTGGTTGAAAAGACTTTTGCAAAAGGGAAGCGAGTTTCGTCGAATCAGCGTCGCGGCTTGTGACCAGACTGATTTTCCGTCGTGACGTTGAGAAAATTCCTGTTAGTTTCGTTATATTCTCGGATGGAATAAATGAGCTGGCGTGGCGGACAGATGATGGATGACACACTCTCTCGTTGACAAAATAAACCACTCGTGTGGGCCACACGGTGTGGTACAACATCGCGCCTATGCAACCGGATGCTGTCGATATGCTGTCGATATGCTGTCGACTGTAGAATCCACAATCGGACGCTTTTTTGCAGTTCCAAACCATGCACGTATGTCGTTTGAGGTCGCTTGCTCGCATCGTGCTTTTGACTGCACTTACTTGGTAGACTAACCCACCTTCTAGCGGCACGAGTTCTCAGCATGAAATGATGCCAATGTTCGAACGACGCTCGTTCCGTTAGATTAACGATCTCGTCTCCCGACCGACTTCAAGCCGAATTCAGAATAGACGCTACTCACATCTCTCTACTAATTTTCTGGAGTGCACTGCCCTGCCACTGCAGGACTTCGTAATGTTAATCGACTGAAGAATTAGCAAATATATTGCAATGGAAGAAAGACATATAGTAGAGATCCACTCCATGTACTCTTCGTACGCGCTGTTCGATACTTTCTGGGAAAAAGATGATACACACGGATCGTACAAGAATGCCGAAGCCGCAACTCCCCTTATGCGTGCTTGACCTCATTCTTGGCCTTGGGCATGACGCGACGCAGAATAGGGGTAAGCACGCTGTAGACAGCCAGAGTGACCACGGGCATAGCCAGTAGCCAGATGTAGATGGCATGCAATAGCGTGAAGCGGAAGAGTAGCAGCGTGTTGATCGTGTCCTTCTTCACGTCCTCCATGAAGCTACTCATCACAAACCCGCTGTCTCCTCCGTCACCGCCGCCAAACATAACGTTACCGTAATAGCTAACATTTAGCACGTCAAACTTGTCAGCTAAGAATTAACGTGAAACGGATAGCGCTTCGAGCCCACAAGGATATCCATGTATACATACATGAAAACAGGGATGGACGCAATATTGAGCGGCGTGACAAGGTAGTTCGTGAGCATAGCAGCCACGGGGTTGAGGCGAAAAAGGAAGATGGCCGCCATGACGGGCACAGTAGTGACACCAGGGACGGGGAAAATGCCCCCGGAGACGCCAAAGGCCATGGCCAGAGCGATGCTACTGGGCGAAGCTTTAGACGCAGAAAATAAGGTCAAACGGGAGGCAGCATATAAAACTTAGGATCGACAAGGAGACGCACCGCCAGACTTGAGCAGCTTCAGGACCGGGTCCTTGACTTTCCGTTCGAAGAGAGTGCTCATGCTTGGCCGCTTCTTCCGTCGTGTGGATAGAGAGAGTGTCAACGGGGAGTTGACGACAACTGGAATACGATAGAAGCGATGCGAAACGCACTGTCGGATAGGGAGCGGTATTGCTGATCGTGATCTTTTGCTAATTCTTTGTAGAGCAACCTTTCCGGTTTTGATGTGTAATTAGCAAGTAGCTTAGTTTGGAGATCCATGTGGCGTCCGGTGGTGCGGGACATATGCTGCCATCATTTCGAGCCTGTCGGCGGACCGATGTAAATTATTCGATCTGATCGCTACAACTTTTAAAAGACGCTGTGCACGTCGTAAACTCCCTTTTGGTTTTAGATGTCGTATGCGTCCAGATCGACTCGATTTGATAGGCAGTAGTAGCCTACTTTTCGATTATCTAGCTGCATCACCGATGTCTGGATTTCAAGCGAATTTATTCGGTGCGCTGCAATACCATATAAACACGACACGGTCCCCCGGCTGGTTGCAACGTAGCGAGCGAGACTTCGGCAGTAGGATGTGATCGAAGCTGAATACGACCAGTGTTTCGAGATGATGGCGGTGATCGATACTGATATCTGCCAAACACAATGGTGTTGTATCCGATGTTAATGCGATGATTCGTATTGTACCGTGTGCAATACAGCCATGCAAATGGACCTTAGAAGTTTTCAGCAGAAGTGCAGATACTGTAGATGCCACGTGAACGCTGGTGTGCCCTTATCCGACGATTACGCTCGCTGCGTTCAGCCGATCATTTCTTTTGCTGTTCAGTCGGCCAAGCGAGTTCCAAGTTGTTCCTAAACTCGTCATCGTTCAGGGGCATCTTCTGCTTGCCCCAACGGACCTCGTTGAATGCTTGGCGCGCATTAGCCGACAGCTGGTCCCACGTGACCGGATCCTGCTCTTTACCATCTTCAGTAGTAAATTCGAGCATCTGGCCATTGTGCACTCCGTCCCACAAGTGCTTGACTTTGATGCCCACCTCGTCCTCTAGCTCATCATCCGATGGAATTTTCCTCGTCCTTCGAGCTCGAAGTCCGTCTCCCAGTGACACCGCTAGAATCTTTGGGTTTTCCACGGCAGGGTTGTTGATCCAAACGACAACATACGTCCAGAGATGACGCTGGCCAAACATGAACGGTATCATGTCTTTCGGCATGCATCATGCATACACAATGGCTCATTTCTCCCCATGCCACGCGGAACGCCCGTAGACTGGAGACCCTGATCCAGATCCCTTGCATCCGGCATTTGTGGTTCCCTCGGGCTCGAGACCGCCACTGGTCTCGCCCACTTCGTTCGCCGCAGGATACGGTTGGCATCCGTCGTAAGTGCTGAAACATGGTTTGAACTCGACGCACGCCTTATCGGAAGCGGTCTTAGGCTACTGCTGAGTTAACGGCTTCGCTTGGTCGTAACTTATTGACACCTCCTGCCACGGTTTCGGACTGGGAGTCGATTCGGAAGACCCGTCTTGCTGTACCGTATCCCCGAGCTTTTGAGCTTGGACCATAGCTGCCGCAAAAAACAGAGCAGCACACAAAAGACGTCGGTCTTCCTGATTGCTTATCGTCGCGTGTCCTGGTGAAAGAATTGAATAAAGGTCAAGAACGGCTTCTTGTTCATGTTGTAAATCTCCGCAAAGGCCGCAGCGCAAAGCAACGACTTGCTATAGTAGTGTTAAAAGGTTACTGCATCAATTCAAAGAGAGAAAACGACGACTATACTACCCTTCAAGGCAGTGAGTGTTCAGCGCAGCGAGCAATCTGAACAAGCTTGCTTGTTGTACTACTTCAGATAACTCACGTGTGATCGAATCTCGAAGAATGAGTAGCTGTAGATGGAAGAGTCCCTCACAAAGTGCCGCTAGCGTGCCATTAGTTATCTTTGATAGCGTGAATAGTACGGTTGTAGCTGGATCCGGTTGTACTTATCGGAGCGTTGGAAACGTTCGGTTGAGACTAAAATCTCAGCCGGTGTCTCCGACGCATCAGTCCAATTCCACCTCGGCGCTTCCCTCAGCCCAACGGTGAGACAGTTGGCTGGCTGTCTAGTCCTTGTACTGCAACTCATCAGTCGTAACGAACACGAACAAGTTAGTTGGTTGGATCAGTCCGGCTTCTGGCTTCAGTCAATTGCTGCACAAGCCATCTTAAGGCTGGACATCATCTCACTTTGTAGTCTCATGCTTTCACCAATACTCTACCGGCGAGATTTGCGTTGCCCCAAGAGGCGAGACCGTCTCAAAAGCAACATCATGAACTACTTTGGTCGCACCTTCTCAACTAGTCGGCTGTGTTTCTGCAAATGGCTCTCGGTAGATTGCCTGGACTTGGCGCCGATACTTTAAACCAGTGAGACGGAGTTGGTTTCGTGTCGCATTTGTTCAGGCATTAACCTCTATCCAAAACTTGCTACGAAGGTGAAGATTTATTCGCACCAGTCGGATGTAGATTAGGAAGGGATTGCAGGCAATGCATTAGCCTCATGAATCGAGGGTGGGCAACGACGACAATCTTTTATCGGTGTGGATACGTTCAAGATTATTGCACAGTATCCCCAGTGACATGTGCAGCCGAAATACATGATCGAGGCTGTCGAGACACCCGTGGAGACCGCCAATAGCTCATATTCTGATAGCATCTAGTGCAGCATAGCTAAAAACCTGCTTCTTCCCTACATGGTTCACTACACCTGCTGGTTTGGATTCATTCCACTGTCGCTGTGATCGTAGTTGTACAGCTGCTAACTTTTCATTAACTAGCAACGAGATCAGAATGACTTACCTTTGCAACAGCGCCGCGCACTACAATAAGACGTGCAAATAGGAGTATGATGCATGTCAAATGGTACATCTCCACACATTTCACAAACTTGTGCCCTGATCTGTGTACGGCATCGCTCATATGATGGAGTAAGGAGTGCCACCTGCGCTCATGGGTTTACCTGCTTGAGGTTGTGGTCGACATGACATGTATCCCCTATGCCCTATGATCGGCCGCGAAACGTGACTTACATGTTGACGCAACGACGGCATACTGCCGTTGTACTGTTCGACGAAAGCTGATGAAAAAGAGCTGCTTGCCATAAATACCCAGCTTCGTTCTTTTATCGACCCATTGCAACACCATTTCCGCACGACCCTGAGACCACGCCGTTTTACCTTGATCGGTGCACGAATTCGGACAATGTCTGCTGTGACTGCTCTGATAGCCAGCTTTGACTAAACGCACTCACCATAGTGACTGCACGGAGTAGACTTTGATGTACGCACATTTCAACGGCAAATATTGCACCAACATTACCTGCGACTCTACAGCCTACAAAACAACGCAGAAGGGGCGGGGTTAGCAACTTTCGAATCTCTTCATAGAATTATGTCGAGCATCTCACACAGTCCATCCACCACCTACTGCTGTTCTGCTGACTTAGACGTGTACTCAGCGATGAGTGCCGTGAGTGCATCGTAAGTGTAAAGCGACGAAGTGTGACCATCACTCCACGTGACTGCAAACGCATAGTTGCCCTGATGAAAAAAATGATGCAATAAGTAAATGTTCTTGAAAAGGCCTGTGTACATAGTTCGACGTACCTTTCGCTCGACCGCGGTAGGAACGATACTGTCTGGAATGGTAGCCGGGTCCAAGATCTGGACGAGGACATGTATGTTACGTCAGTAATATTCCATGCGCACAGGCGACACAGAAAGACGCACCTGCTCTCCGGTAAACTCGCCGACGCATTGGGCGCACCGGCAGCTGTAATGGTTCAATGTAGTCAGTCGACGTTCAACATATTCGCGACGAGAAACAGTTCTAGCTTCGGTTGGCCTACCGAGCTCGAAGGTCAGCTGGGTGGAGTACGGCCTCCTTTGCCTCGTTCTGACTGTACAATCGAAGCACGATACCGCGATTCTTATCATACAGAAGATCCGGCGCCAGGCGAATGTTGTGCTTCAATACGACGAGTTCCTTCGCCACCTAGCAAAAAGCGAACAGATTGTCAGCGGCGGGCAAGCCACACGAATCTAGTGATTACTCGCCGTGGTCGCAAGCAAGTCGTAAGTCTCTTCCTCGTCTGGGGATAGTCCTGACAGAACAAAGGGGCTACGAAGCGCATCAAAGTGAGAAGACCACAGCACATAATAAACATGCCTGCTCTCTGTGACTGTCTTCAACGCACCGTCCGGAATCACCCGATGAACTGAAGTGCTCCGTGATAGGCAGCTTGAACACGTTTTTCATGTTGTACTTATCGACAAGCTCCTGTGTATGGCCCGGGCCTGCACACAATCAAATCTAAATCATCGAACCGCTGCTCAACATTGCCAAGGGCTACTGACCGAATGGATAATATCGCTGTCCATTTGAGCAGTCAAAGTAGGACATGTTCTCTACCACAGCAGCTGTCTTCACCTGAACGAGCACCACTATGGTCTTAGCGGCCACAATCTTCATTTGTATTGACTGACGTACCTTCAAGTCATCGAACATCGCAATCCCTTTCTCCACATCGACAAAGCTAACATTTCGAACCCTGTAAGATGCTGTACAAGTTGGCGAAACAAATAGCGCACGGTACCATACCTGAGTCGTTGCGGTGTTGTCACGACGACTGCAGCTGATATAGCCATTTGTTGTGAGAGGGAGATTTGGATATCCCCCGTCCCTGGAGGCATGTCCACCACCAAGTAGTCCAAGTCGCCCCATTCCGTCCCAAGAACAAGCTGATCAACTAGTTTCGAGACCATAGGTCCACGCATCACAGCGGCCCCGACTCCTGCGTATTGAGCGCACACAAATACCAACAACACCCATCAAGCATTAACAAATCTGGATGAGCCAGCCGTAATCCACGACATAGATCGTACCTCCAGCACCCGGAGCAGCACGTTGGTTCACGAAGCCGAATGACATGCACTTGACACCCTCGTACTCCACAGGCTCGACAAAGTGCTTTACCTTTCTTGACGGACGAATGGTCCGATCTACCGGGGAGAT